CAGAATTAGCAGAGAAAGAAAGAGTGAGGTTGGTTCTGGCAAACACTGTAGGTTCAATAAGGAAACCCTGAATCTGTGATCCAAAATTAACATTTTATGTAAGTAACTTTAACTGTGCTCTAAACACAGCTGGTATCCAGAGAAAATTATACTGTGTGCCTGGACTTGCACTCACTGGCCACTTTATTAGGTACACCTGTACAATTCAATGCAACACTCAAAATCTTTCAGTTTATTGCAAAATTGTTGTAAAGGTATAAAATTCAATTATACGTTTGTTGTTGAGGTCATAGCTAAAGGTGGTGCTGTACTGGACTGCATTATATTCAGAGGTGACTCTATATTTTTGTCTTCCCCAGATTCATAATGAGAGGGTCAGAATATTAGGAACACCGCTGAATAGAATGATATGCTATTTATAATTTTGTATAGAATGTTTTAGGTGTTTAAATTTTCCTAGTTCTTATTGTACAGCACTTGGTGCTCAGATGACTTGTAAAGTGCTTTATAAATAAAGGTTATTATTATTATTAGAATGTATTCCAGTCAAACACCCCCTTTAACTATGACCTCAAAAATAAACATAATTTCATCGATACATTTGTCAGTTTCACCAAAAACTGAACATTTTGAGCTTTATAGACACTCGTATTAGTGCAGAAGTGTTGCATTGAATTGTATACTGAAATGAATTGTATACAGGTGTACCTATTAAAGTGGCTGGTGAGTGTATACCAAATTGGAAACCAATCAGAGAATTAATTATTCAGGCTAAAATAGATAAATGTGGACTGAGGTTTGAAAAAAAAAGTTTTTACTTGCTGCTCCCAAAGGAAGTTTGACTTTAATGCAAATGTAAGCCAATAATGCATCTAGTTCTTTTGCAGTTTACTGCCATTAAAATAGAGCGGTGTTCTTTACTTCTCAGCAGTTGACAAAACACTCCACCACAGGGTATTAAAACTAATTGTTCTAATAAAGAAAACCAGGTTTTTGCTGTCCCTGTGTCACCATGGGGAAGTTTCCACTGAGCTCTCTTGACTGTGAACAAACACAAACCATCAATTCTTGCTTTTCTCAAAGTAAGAATTGATGAATAGCTGATAGCTGCTGCATGCAGTGGTGGATGCAGGCTAGATAGCCAACCAATGCGGCGCTCTCCATAATGTGGCTATTTCCTCTAATGATTTTGTAGACTCATGCAAACATAACATCAGCAAGGACCATTGCCCCCAACCCCACAACCCAACTAAATGACAAGTACTTTTCATTGCTCCTGTTTTTCCCTCCACATTATTGCAGCCACAGAATGAAAAATAATCAAACTCTGGAAACCATTCAGGAATTTACTGGCAGAGAAAAAAGGACTAAACATTTGTGTTTCTTCCCTTTTCTGATTCTCTCTTGCTCCCTGTTTTCCCCAGCAGTAAGAGTAAAATTATAAATCATCTCCCCGCAGACAAAATTTCATGCTTGATGGGTGAACAACTCTAGCATCTGGTGGGGTCCTGTGATGAGGTACATTCCAAGTTTCTCCCTCTCTCAGCCTCCCCTGGGCTGATCCAGAGCATTGCCAGCATCCTGCCAAATGTTACACACATGCAGCTGAAATGATAAGGAAAAAAGGAGATTAATATTTAGCAGGGACCCTTTTCATACTCAACCTGTTCTGCAGGTTGGATGATGGCGCATGTGAAATCTCTGATGAATACATGTCACATCACAAGATGTGTACACACCTGAAGGAGATTCTCCTCGGTGAGTGGATGTGGGACACTGGAGTGTGTCCAAACATGCTGTGTATCTGTTAAAAAACAAGCCCAGAGCCAATAGTCAGCCCCCTGGGCTAAAATTCACGATATCAGTGATACTACAGTACTGCTGGAGAGGGAGGAGATTAAGTTGTTTTATATGTATAAAATCCAGGCTATAAGGAAAACACATCTTACATAAAAATACATCCAGATTGTTGCACAGAACCTCAGCAAATTGTCTATTATGGCATTTGTAACCATTCTGACAGGGTTTTTGTTTTGTTTTTTCATGCTCTGTGCATCTTGTACATGTTCAGCAAGACTTATAGGAGATAACTGGAAAAACATTTCATATTCTGCAATTTCAAACATGGTGGATATTTTATAAGATGGTTCAGTTTCTTTTTTTGTATTTCCCGTATTTTGTTATACACTTTTTGGTCACTTTTTGAAGTATTTTGATATCATACTTTTTATTTGAAGTAAGATTAAAACTGAAAGAAATCATTTCCTCTAAAAAATCTCAGCATTTCACACAAGCTACCACACTATTTGTTTTCAGTGGGCAATTAAAATGCCTGGATATGTCTTCAAAAATGTATTGTTGAAGTGAACGTACAACAGTTTAGATCTGAAGCAAATCCAAGTTTCACTTTTATGGTAACAATTATTTTGGAACAAACGTCTCATTTATACAAAGCAAATTGTTCCCCATCATAAAAAGTGACTTTGCCCGTGCTGAGACGAAACTGCGACCTCGACCTTACCTGTTGGTGGGTGTAATGGCAGATATCGTTAAGTTCAGGGATCCTTCGTGCTATTTAGAGGAGCTTGTTAAAGGGCCATCAATCACTGGAGAAAGTGCTGCAGTGTTGCAGGAATAACTTGGCTATGAATGTAATTCCCAGACTGCAAGACCAACATTCTGGATAAATTAGCAGCCTAAGCTTCACTGCTTTTGTATGTTTGTAATGTCAGAACAGATGGCATATTTTACTGTTGTTGATATCTAAATCTAAGTTATTCTTTCAAACAGAAAAGCCCTGTTTTTAATTTACTTTAAAACTTTATTCCCTCTTGAGCTGCAAGATTACCTAAGATGGGGGGGGAAACTTTGCTCTGTTCTTTAATTTTGCACAGTCATTGTCCCAGATGTCAGTGGATAAAGAGGACAAACTCTGACAACAATAAAGTAAACAAGTCCACTGATGTAGCAGCAACTTTTGGCACATGCATATGCTTGCCTAACAGGGAAAACAGCTTTTCACAGAAGCAGAGGCATATGGCCAGCTCCTGTTTTAACAACAAGATGCCGTGTCACCTTGCTAGCCACCTGTAGCCAGTGACCAGCTGAGCGGTGGAGGTGATACATGTATACACAGGCCGACATACATATTTGCCTCTGCTTCCATTATACCAAAACCCATATGCTTATCTTGTTGACCTTTGCTGTGTCTGACGGCATGTCACACATTGTGTCACTGCGGCCAGGCAAGCGTGAAGAGCAATCGGTGGGGGTCAAGAACACAAAAGCTTTTGAAAAACATGGTCACCACCTCAAACTCCTGCACCTTTGCACTCCACTGCCTTTTTTTCTGTGCTCTCCTTTATCCCTTCTTTTCATTTCTTTTCAGATGCCACACACGTCCTGACAAGCGACAGCGATTTGCATGATGTGATGGGCCTCTGCCTTCCTGCAGCTCTTTAGAAGTGTGTGCGTGTGTGTGTGCTTGTGTATGCATGTGGCTGTCTGAATTGCAGTGTGTTTGCTCATGTTAAGATGTGTGGACTCACTGCAGCCATCTTAACCTGCAAGAGAAGGATAAAAAAAAAGGCTTTGAGCCTATAGATATCTCACAGGGCAATCACGGAAATATGCTCAAATACATGACAGGCAGAGTATGTCATTTGGCATGCAATAATTCTGTCTGAAGATTGGCTGTTGTAGCATTGCAGAGTTAAGGTGAGGTGTTTGTTGGAGATGAAACTAGGCCAGGTAGTTTTGCTGGGGTAGCACACACACTTTCACACTTGACTCCTCAAGTGTGCAGAGAGATTTAATCAACAGCAAGGCTGGTTTCCACTCGCAAACATTCAAGGACATCTTGCAGATCAAATAGAACAATGTTAAAAAAGAACAAGAGTTATTCCTTAAATTCCATTTTAAAGTGTTCAAACTCCGTCTCCCTCATGTAGTTACTTTTCTCACTTCTTGTTATTGCTAAATTATGGAAGCAGCTGAGCTGCATATTTGTCTTTTGGGCATTAAAAATGGAATCACAAGCCAGGCTGCATGTTTTCCTCAGTTAGTGTAATTATGGTTAGAATCCCAAAAGTGAGGCAATTACTCCTATGATACATAGAGAATGCAGTGTGTTAATAGTACCACAGTATGTATGCCATTACTAGTGAATGTGACAAAGACCAACAACAATTTGTCAAGGTTTCAGGAAAGTACAACTTTAGTGTGGGCTTAATGGAAAATAACGCTACTGTAGGTGTGTGCGAAATCTGAACATGCTATGCCCCACGTGCACATTTGGAAGCCCCTCTCCCTATGCCCAATCTAGTAAGAGCATTTTCTAAACAGTAAATGAAATTGCAGTCAGTTGAAGTACAGTAAGTATTTGCTTTGCATTTATTATGACCACTTTTGGTTATTTTTCACCTGTTGTACTAATAATAGTTAGTTTTTTCCCATGTTTCTCTCTGTGAGGGGGTGCGTTACATGGAATTGCTATGGAAGACAGTGAGGGAATCTGCAGATAAATAAATAAAGTCCCAACATGCAGCACCTTGAAGCATGAAAAGACATGCACATGGCGTAATAAGGAATTCCAGTCACAAGCAGCCGGTTTCTCACTGCCAGCAAAAGCAGGGTGCACTAGGAAGAAAAGGGATGAAGGAAAGAGACAAGGAGGCAGGGACAAATAAGTGGGACAGTTTAGGAGGGTAAGAAAAACATTTTTGGATTAAGAGGGAGAGAGAAGGAAGAGGAGCAGAAATCAGTCCATAGAGGAAGCATGGAGGACAGAAGCAGAAAATGGGAGCACTGGGAGCAGGAGCATTGTTGTGAGGTCAAGGTTTGTGGTGTGAGGTAGCCACAGAACGCTGCAGCACTCTGTGAGGCAGAGCTAGCATGATGGGAAAAGAGACATGTCAGGAGGAAACAAAAAGGATGGGGAGGGAGGTAAAAAGGAACACATGGCTCAGACTAAAGTCCCCTGTCCTCTCTCTTTATTTCAGATCCTCCAACTAGCACACAGTGAGCCAGTAGCTGGGTTAATCCACTGACATCACTACCCCTCCCTCCTCTAATGGCTGGAGTCAAAGCAAAAGGCAAGAGAAAGCAGACAGAGGGACCACATGGTGTGAGGACATTCACCGTTAGCAAGTAATTAAGAAGATATCACATACAGTACATATTGTTCATTCTGCTAATTGATTCACTGACTTAATTGACTCCCAATGAATATATAATGACAGCATCTGTCACATTTTCAGTTTAAATGAACTCATGGAGCAGCTTTATCTTGAAGTCAGCATGGATGGCATTATTAAAATACTTTATTACGTCATACACTGGAGGATTGTGACTGCAATGTAAAGCTAATCATGTTTGCTAATACTGTTTGCCACAGCTGTTGCACCGTGATAGACACTGTTCATTTTTATACACTTCCTGCTTTTGTTTTGTGGTTATTCAGTTTTGTGTTTGAGCCAAATACTTGTGTCTGTTTGGCACAGCTGAAACGATTTGTTCACTGACTTTTCTATATTGTTGTTCACTTTAATCCTCAATTCTTCAATAACAACCACTCTCTTTACTTTGTATCCAAAAATGTTTATTTTTTTTATGCGTTACTAATTTTAGCTCCAGATTTTAGCTCATTGAATAATCATTGCCTTTCAAATAGTCAAGAAAAGGCCAATAAAAACAAGTCTTTAGTGAATCATTCACAACATATGAAGAGTCAAATCTAGAGACTTCTGTTGTCAGTGTGGCAAGCCTAGGCAACCCTTCATAGTCAATTTTAAGCCTCCTAACCCTCCAACAAATGGACCAAAGGTTATGTCAAGTGAGATTATTCCTGGCTCAAAAAGGGGAAAAGAGAGCAAAAATGTGAATGTCATTTCAAAAGTAGGTTGAGCAAGTCAAAAATAGCTTCAAAGGCCTCATACTTGAGAGTAAAATCCCAAGAGTAAGCCTTCTGAGGTAAGAAGAAAAAATCTAAATTCAATGGAGGTTTTTACTTGTTAAAACACACTGGTGCTTGTTCTTGGAAGCATTTTTGTCAGTATCAGTGTGCAATAAATTACACTGGGTGTTTTCTTGGCAAACAAAGGTGATATACAGAAGACTCTTAGTTACAGCCACACAAAGATAATAATTAACCCTGGTCAAAATATGTATCAAATTCCAGAGGCAATTCTGTTTTTAATTGATTCATGCCTCCATTACAATATATGAAAAACCTTCACTGTTGCTTTACCTCATCCCAGGGCTCTGGTGACCCCGCCCATCAAAGCATGAAATCACTATGACACAGAAAAATGCTTGTTTAACTAATGGAACACTGGTATGATAAATATGAGACCACCATTTGGAGAATCCCCTTTGTTTTGTCTATTATTTTATTTTATTGAGTTTTGTCTGAACAGTCATTCAATACATGAGGATGAATTGACACAGTTGTTACAATTAAAGCTTCTGGTGTCAGCATGGGTAGGCTTTTTGTCTCATAGCCACTCTTCATCAATTTGTCAGAAGCATCATGCACAATTTATTACAGATTGCTCTCCTGTTGGAAGTTAGCTTTTGCAGCATGTCTGTGGTTTAGGGAGGAGTTGGCTGGTCCCTGTCCTCCATTAATAGTAAGACCGGTCTAACACCATGGCAAGGATAAGGGCAAAAGAGGATGTTGCCATCTCTGCCCGTCCGCTTCAACAACAGTTTGAGGTTCTGCCCTAAGGGCTCCAGCACAGCAGTGCCTGTGATGCTCCCCTGAGCATGGATGAGAAAATCACTGATAATACTCTGGACCAAGCTTTTCTTTTTGTTCTGAATGACATTAGAAAAGATAATAAAGAACTGACTCATATATTTACAAGTACTGACAAATGTTCCTGTAATCCTGGTTATAACTGTGTTGATATGCTCCAAAAATCACATTTATAAAGGGAAACATTAAATTCTAAGACAATTTCCCCCATTGGTTATATTTACAGTCTCAGAAAAATATATGTAGGATAATTTAAGTAATTTTAAACTGTTTGCATTTTTTTTTTATCTGTAAGTTACTGTTGAAGTATAGTGAACATTTCCCTCTACCAATATTTAACATTTAGGTATCCAAATGGCAAAACAAGGGGCTTTTATTGTGAAATCTCCACAGAAAATGTAATGGTTGTCATTGCAGCTAATGCTGACCTCAATAGTTCATCAAAATTACTGTTATTTTCTGCATTTTCATCAGTGGATCAGTTTAAAATATTGCAGGGAGTAACTGAACGAAAAGGAGCGGCAACAGTGAGATGTTAAATGAAGTGCTCCCGGCGAAAGCCTGCAAACCTCCAGTCAGCAGTTTTAGTGCTATCTGCATCTTCCATCTGCTCCAGTCTGAGTGTCTGTAGGACCTGTTAGGGTCAGCTGCTTCTACTGGAATGGTCTGCCACTGGCTGCACTGCCTTGTTTAAAAGCTTTATACTTTTTATGTCTTATTTAGCTGCTGGTATAAATCCTGACAAGAAATGAGCACAAGAGCTGCTAAAAATGAACACGTGCACATACGTACTGTCTTTCTCCCCACAGTGACACAAGACACACATCAAAAGCAAGAAAAAAGACATGGCCTCCTCCCCTGGATATTGTTTCTTGAGCCACTTCCTTTCTTATAGTACCTGCAGCAGACACTTAACGTGTTCTTTAACAGAAGGTCTTAGAGCCTTTAATGGTTCCTAATGGTTTCCAGTGTAAGATCACTCCTGCTTAATGAATGTTAATGGGAATCAAGGGCCCTCTGCATGTAGACAGTCCCATGATTCTCACCTTCAGGAAGTGATGACAGCCTCCTATAGCACTGGGTTGCTTTCTGATAGCATTGCCTCTTATTACACCAAAGTTGTTGTTTTTTTTAAGACCCTAGAGAGGAGGGGAGAGCTGCATATCTACTTCAGTAAATTGTACTGCTTATTTCTTTTTTCTTTCTTCTGCTGCCTTTTTTTCTAAATGGGTCAATTTGACACTCTTGTCTAACTTCATAATAAAGACTGTGGAGACAATACAGCGTGACTAGTGTAGCCGTATCAAACAGCAGACAGTTCGCCTGTCATTAGGCAGATTGAGGTAATAAAATGTATTCTTGGATCGCTTTTAAGAATGATCAAAGCCTCAGATAAATCAGACTATTTTGACTACAGCTATGATTTTGGACCTGGTAATTAGCATTTAAACCTCTTCAGATCATATCATTAAACTATTTATGCAACAAGGGTCACTCAGATTGTATTATACATGGATGAAAAAGAAGCAGAATATACTGTAGCACCTACACAAGATGGCAGCTTTTTCCTCCAAGGTGTAATCATCATCATTGTGAACATGATCAATCAAATGCTTTGTAAAGTTTTTCTCTAATAATCCATTGTGTACTATGTAAAAATAAATGCCTTTTGTTGTTGAGTCCCATTGTTCTTCGCCATGATAATTATGAGTGCATGTACAGTATATGATTACAGTAACCACTAGTTTGTTTCTCTTCAAATGCAATGTATGTGCTCTCATGCAAACATAGATTGTCTCTTGTCAGTCGCAGCAGTTTGTTTTTGTTTGTGTAGTAGGTATTTATACAGACTTTGTAGGGATTGATATTGTGTGAGCTGGGCAATGGACCTCCATTGTGCTGGTGCACAATGGAGGTCTAAAAACATCAGGAATTAAGCTGTTGTAGTTTGCCCGGTTTATGAACAGTTTGCAGTTTGGTTCGGTCGTCCCTCTTGTTTTCTCCAGCTTTATTGCTTCTGGACTTGTTTAGAGACTCTTAGTCTACATCTGGTCTCCAGTTTCTCCAAATTATTCTCTGCCCCACCTCTCACTTCCTCATTGCCAGTCCCACCTCACCTGCCTTGAATCAGCTGATTGCCTCTCCCTGACTGGTAGCTTTTGTTCATTGCCAGATTATCCATTGTATTTACATGCCTTGTATGCCTCATTTATCTTGCCCTCCGTGGTCCTATACCTTGTTATTTACTAGTGCTACTCATGTTTTATGTATTTGGGCTTTAATGGTTTTTGGATGTTTGCCTCTTGCCTTTGTTTAACCTGGACTGTTTGTGAAGTTTTTCTCTAATAATCCACTGTGTACTATGTAAAAATAGTGTTTTGGACTCCAGATCTCCCTGCTCAGCTGTGTTTACCTAGACTGAAAGTCAGCTTATCTCTTTCCCCTATGTTGAAATCAGCTGCTTAGCAGTACCTGTCTGCCTGCCAGCCTGCTAGTCTGCATTTGGGTCCTTTCCCTCATAGGTTAATGTTCTATATTACATACCCTGGCATCTGATTGCTGTCAATTATCTGACTATTTTTTGAATCTTACAGTAACTTAATCAAATATAAACACTTACATTAACAGCACATTCTTTAAATATATCACTGATGCCAATCATGAGTACAGTAAATGTACATAATTCTGCTTAGTAATAGTAATGTAAAAAGATGCTCCTCATAAGTCCAGAACTTTTCTTAGTCATCATATTTTAGGGTTTTCTTCCATATCAAAGTAATCCAGTGATTGTTTTCTGTACTTTCAATGCCATACTTTGCAATCAGGAACTTAGTAGCTAGTTTGGCATACTTATAATGGCAACAGTTGAATACTACTGCAAGTCTTGAGCTCCACTTGGGAGCATTTTACATTGGCATCCCAAAAATCAGCCACAACAGACAACAATTTAAAGGGTTTCATCACCCAGAAATCACGACTTTTGTGTAAAATGTGCACTCCTTAATAAGTAATTTCATTTGCCATCACTGATCAAAACCGACACCAGAACTTAATTTTGCCAAGGAGGATGAATCTATTTCCACATCCGGTTAAGTGGGTGGAAAGCTCTGCTGTTGTCACTATTCTTAATTTGCTAGCAAAGAGGCATATTTCATGTGATATTATCATTTCACCCTGACTAAAAGTATGTGTTATTTTAGTCATTTTAGCTGATATTTTTTCCTCATCACTTTCTTCCATTTAAAAATATACTTGGAAAAACCTGCGTTACCTGACATGTTAAAGGTCTCCTCAGTTTTGCTTTTATAAGGGCATGGGAAAGTATTTTACCAAAACCCTTAATCAAAACTATAGTACATTTATTAACCTCCAAACTTGTGATCGGATTAAATGTTCTAATTTCTTTTCTACTCTCACAGTCACTGAAAGTCGATCTGGATTAAAAGTGTCTGCCAGATGTCTAAATGTAATATTAATGTGTTCTTTTTCCATCTTAAAAATAGAAGAAAATGTACAAATGAGCACTGCATATCTGGTCAATCATAATTATCTGAGTAGTATTCTTTTATTGGTAAATGAAGTTGTTTAAAATGACAAGTAAATTATGATTGGAGTTTAATCATTCTCATAAATCAAGTGAGTCAATCATTTAATTCTACTTTGCTTCAGCTGTATTGGAGGATTAATGCAGGAGGATGGGTGAGGAAATTGGGATTCAGTGCATAGTTCTCACACAGCCCGCTGGTTGTTGGAGCATGGATAAGCAGACAAACACATATGTCATGTCACAAGTCTATTTGCTGTGCAGTGGTGGACAGGCCATAAAAATAACCTTTAAAGAATGAAATTTTAAAGCCACCATTCTCAACATCAAAAAAACAAAGGAAGAAATCATATTCACCCTAAATCTGTCACATGCTTCATGTAAAAGATGAGAATTCAATGTCATTCAAGGGGTGGTTTTGTGAGGATAGAAAATGTCACCAAGGAAGAAAATGAGTTCCAGTTCCCATAATTCACACTTGCCACCACATCTGTGTGCGGTGTTTAACACTGCATTTACATCAGGTGACAGACTGTATCTAGCTGCATGGTGCACAGTCTTTGAGTTTACTAGATGTTAATCAGAAAGAGCTGACTCATTTTAGCAAGGTTATTTTTCATCTATATCATAACAA